GACATCTGCAGAGTGATTGCAGTAAGATGGGGTGGAGGGTGGGGGGGGGGCACTTTGTGAAGCTCCATCTAATCCTAAACCTCCTCCCAGCTGAGACTGACATCAAAGAGAGAAGAAGCCTTCTCGGTTTTCTCCTGAGCGTATATGTATCTATATTTCTGTGTGTACGTCTGTCTGTGCTTTTTAAGACTGAATGTGGGTGGGGGTAGGAGTGGGTGCCATCTGAAGCCTTTTTCCTTATAAGGTGGAAAATTAGGAATTTAATCTTCTATAAGTATAAAAGATGAGGTCATTTATTTACCATAAATTCAGGAATCTGGAGAAATGTTATGTGAAGTTGCCCAATGAAGATATCAGCTGAACAGCAAAGATTTAAGATCAAACAATAAGTTATCGCCTTTTCTGAGGTGCTTTATATAACCCGCAGCAGGCCTTTAAAAACCTGCTTTTTCTTCATGCGTCGGTCAAAGCACTGCCTGCCAACAGACTGCTTTATAAATCAAATCATGCTCATCCTAACTTGTCTCCCTCAGGTCTCTCTGAAGTGCAGAGCTGCAGAGGTTTCCCAGTGGGTGTTCCAGAGCTACGAGGCGGTGCTGAAGAACTGAACAAACAAGCCCGTGCATCCACCCAGCCGCAGCCCTTGCAGACTACCATCTCTCTCTCATTCTCTCTCGCCTGACCCACGAACCACATCACAGCCTCACACAGTGCCGGGAGCCGCTTCCCGCTGCGTTCAGTCGGGACACTGCGGTCCTCATGTTACCCAACCATTTCATCAGGATGGTTAATGGGTCTATCGGCCCTTTCTTTCTTGCTTGCTTTCTTCCTTTTTTCCCCTCCAATGCTGCAGAGAGATGTGGTTCACTCTCTTGGCTGCCCTTATCCTGTCCCCATCTTTGTTCACACCACATGCTTCAGTTTCAGGAAATCATCCCACATCCCCTGTTCTCCCCTGTCCGAGCCATCCTTAAACAATCTTTATTCGTTTCTTGGGGGGTGGGGGGCTGTGAATGTTTTTCTGCATGAGGCTCCTTTATCATTTTCAATCCCTGCTTTTTTCTTTCTCTCTCGCTCTCGCTCTCTCTCTCTCATATATATATTGGAGTCTATTTTTAGCACCTGTGATCAGCAGGTGAATCATCACTTTCACCATATTTATTTGGGGGTTAATTTCAATTAAGATGTCAGACATGAGAGGCTTTGACTGTATTTTTGCTTCTCTCTCTGTGAAGGGGATAAAAGGCTGTGTGGATCTTAATAGAGCCACATAATTACATCTAAGAAAACCCACTACACTATTGTTTTTGTCTTTTATAGTTTTCTTTTAGTATCTGGTTATCAGGGGGCTCGTCGTCTGTCCCCAAAAGCAGAATGTGTGTTTCCGTGTGCATGGAAACTGTGTGTTACTGCGTGTTTAATTTTTCATCAACATCGCAACATTTTATAGACTAGCAGCAGTTGTCCTTGGACTACTCTCTTACTCGGTCATTCCATGGTTTAATTTTTGTTCGTAGTCTTGTTTAGCGCACATGCTGCAAACTGGGAGAGAGGCTCAGGTGGCGAGAGTTTTCTAAGTGTCGGCGCGCTCTGCGTCAGCAGCGCCAGCCACCCCGGGCTCTCTGCCACTTTGCTCTCCGTGTATCCACGCTGCAGCTCTCTCGAGGTCCACGCCTTACCTGACATGAAGGCTCAGGTGGAAAATAAAGCAAAACAGCTGATGCCATAGTTTGTAACACTTCGGAGTCACAAGCGCACATGTAGGTAGCAGGCAGCGTTCGCTAAAACAAAGCTGGATCAACAGCGGCGTCTCTGTTTGAGCTGCAGGCTCCGCTGATTAATTGGATTCCTTTTAGCGAGCTGTTACACCGACTGTACCGGCTCTACAGGATCAGCACGGAGGCTGTGTATTCTGAGTGTGTGTGTCTTTGTGTGTGATGCAGCTGATACTTATGACATGCTGTACAAAAAAAAATCAGATGTTTAATCAGATGTTTGTTTTTTCATTGTGTGTACATCATTTGAAGAACCATTAAAAGTCTTGATTAATTCACGTTCGTGGGGTTTTTTTTTTTTTTTTTTTAAGTAGTTATATATTGTCACAGATTCCGTTTTAAAAATGCAGATTCTTTTTCCCTTTCCTGTTGATGCTGAAGTCCCAGTGTTAAAGGATGTGAAACATTATCTCAGTTTTATTTGCCCCTTCTCCCGCCCTCGAGGACCTGGAAATCAATGCGCACCATTTTCACACACACGTCATAATCTCCTCTGGTGTTGTTGACCGAACGGTGTCCGCAGCTTTGCACACAGAAGTCGACAGACTCTAAGTTGTGCTCAGCCTCAATCTAGCAGTGAAATCTGAGGTTTATCCATCAGAGTGCACCCTCCTTTTCCTGAAAGTCCAACCTGCTTTGGAAAGCTTAACCAAGATTTCCTCTGCATGATCCAATGGTGGTCACAAGCACTTTTCAGCTCAAATCTCTGACTGCGTGAATCATAAGGTCAACAGAAATCACTGACCAGAGCAAAGTGAAGCTGTGACCAGTGTCAGACTTTCTTCTGCTGCTGTAATGAATGATCCATAATATTGATCCTGTAAGGACTCCAAAAGCAGGCATTACTTCACTGTCTTTTAGTAAACGTCTCCTCTCTATGAGAGCACAGTCATTAACTACCAAACCACAAATGTAATTTGTGCTACTAGCAGGGAAGTAATCACAGTATTTTCTCTTAAATAGATTTTCTGAAGTGTTGGGAGGAGAAATCAAGAAGCTGAAGCCCTTCTTTTAAACTCAGTTATTTTCTTTTTTTTTTTTAAATGTATCCAGATCACTTCCACTATTTATGGTCAATCCAGGAGTGTCACACTTATTTTAACGTTGTGGACTCAGTTTCAGTGAAGCTATTTGCTCTAAACTGTTCACCTTAGTTTGATTGTAAAGACGTTTAAATACACGTTTAATTTCTGAGCTCTCTTAAGAGATAAAGAAGTGCAACTAAAGCAGCATTTTTTTTTTCAATGTTATAAAGAAATATTGCTGTGGAAAATCAAAGCAACTTGCAAGTATGGACTGACTGGGATTACACTGTAAGAAATAAAGGTCTTTATCCTAGAGTTAAAAAAAAACAAAACAACTGTCACGACCAGAAAATGGTGTTAAAGATGGTGGAAAAGGAACATTTCTGTTATTAAACACTAACACCAACAGCTAAATAATAAAATAAACCTCCATTCACTTAATGGTTTATCTACTACTTTGGCATATGGGGTTATATCTGTCAGTAAGAAGATTAAAACAGATGAAGAGACAGTTAAAGGTGTAAAATGTATGTCCTGCTTTTTAGAACTTTCCACATTTTCCAAAATGTAGCTGAGCTGAACAATGTGGCAGCTGGTTCTTATGTAGTGCTTTTCTACTCTGAGCACTCAGTGCTTCATACAACTTATCTCATTCACACCCATCCATATAAGTCCTTTCTATCTAGCATTCATACACATTCATACAGCAGACAGCAACTTGGGTTAGTATCCTTCCAAAGGATATTTGGTATGGAGTAGCCAGCGACCTGCTCCACCTCCTGATCTACAGCCACCCATCATCAGCTCTTATGTGTTCAGAGAGTAATCTCATACATTCGGCTTACTCTTTATCTTGACATTTTCCATATTTGGCATTTATCACTCGGTGGCAGCACGTCTATATTCCTCATTTGTGATGTTTGATCATCGATTTTCTGATAAAACATGTTTGGAAAGACAAAAATATCTTTACCACCGTAACAACATACTGTCATTTATTTTATCTCCTTCTTGTAACACATTTAAATGTGGATTTATTGAGCTTTTCTTTATTCTGTTTAAATAACGTTCTTCCTTAGTGTCATTTTTTTAAGGCATTTGTTCTGTGATATATTTATTTTATTCAGCCAAGTTGTTTTTCATATTTTAGCTGCTGTAACACAGTCAATTTCCAGCTTTCAGGACAAATAAAGCTTTTATTTTATGTTCATTAAAGTAACAAATGCTTTCTACATATTTTATTTTAGGCTGCCGAGTTGTCAAACATCTCCTTGGCTGATATTTAACCAACTTCAGCATGTGACACTTGCTTTGTTACTTTTAAAGGTCCTTTTTGTAAATACCCTCTCCAAATTTCCACTAAAACTCTCACCATTGGGGGGCATTGTTACCAGTGAGTATGCTTCTGTTCTTTTAACTTTTGATATTTCTTTTTAACTACTCCCATTTCCTCAAGAGCCTTCGCCCATTTTCCATTTGTTTATGTCTTATTACTACCTTTACACATTTCACCAGTAAAACCCTAGAAATTTTGCTTCAACTGATTTGCATTCAGACATGTGTAAGTAAAAAAAAAACCCCACCAACAATAGGTCTGGGTTCATCCTGGAAAACTGAATCTAAAACGCTGTTCTTGTTAATAATAAGAACTAATCTGTAGAGGTGTGAACTAAAACATGCAAACTGTTTGCATGTTTGCATGAGAAGCTTCTCGGATGAGAGGTGAAACATCTTCAAGCAACTCAAAGAAGTCGAGACGCTTTTCTTTCCAAGCTCCTTAGACTACGATGACGTGGATGACTGAGAACCTTCACAGACATAAAACATGCAAACCTTTCACAGAACAGTCTCACACTTCTCTGGAGCTCATCTCAGTTATTCTGAGGAACCATAAACTGAATTGCGTTTATTGCTTAGCTTTGTCTGTGGTGCTCCGCTGTCAGCCGTGATTGTTCGAACACATCCCGCCTCGCGTGCCCCGGGACCCTGTCCGGTCATAAGTCACCTCACAGGTATGATGTTCAGTCCTGCGCCGCCTCTCCGTGACCCTGGCGCGGAGATGATGTATAGTGTGTGGCCTCTTCCACAGCTATTTGTTTGCGGCGTATGGGAGCTCAAAGCTTTCGCACGCCTTGTGCACTACGTGATCCTATTGGACGAGCGGGGCAGTGGATATTGCAAATGATGATGGAGAGAGAGGGGGAGAGGGAGGGTGGTGGAGAGCTCCTGTCTTTCCAACGGCAGACACGCAGCGCTCCTTAAGACTCCAGATGCCTTTACAGAATACGCGCCGCTGTTTTCTGTGCGAGTTGCCTCTCCTGTCTTAAATCGATCGTTGTGTTATCGAAAACCAGAAGATTATGGGGATCGCGTATTATGCGGGAACACGTGGAAAGCTTATAAGACGAGCGGCTGCGCGCCCGTCCTCATTGTGATGGAGAAGCGCGGTGGTGCATCGCTGGGGATGAGTGAGAGGTGCGGAGGAGATAATCAACGAAGACACTGAGAGCTCCTGTGCGTTTGGACAAGGTCATCGGAGCCCAGCCTTGGCAGGATTATGTCCATGTGGAGGCGGCAAGGGCGGACTTTTATGCTTCCTCTCCGGGGACGAGGTTGCCTGGGGTGTCCCCTGAAAACCAAGAGTTTCTCTCCTTGCGTTGGCTCACAGAGGCGGCGAAGAGCCCATCTATTGGTGGCTGAGCTGTATTTTTGACCATCTGCGTGTCTTGGAGATAAAAGTTTCCCCGCTCTGCTCGACGGGTGGGTGCTCTATTCTCCCACCGACTCTTCTATTGAACGCAGCTGAAGCCAGTTAAGGTGATTTAGTGGGTGCTGGTTAAAGGGGCAGCGGCGGCGGGTGGGTTGAATTCCACCAGAGAAACAGCAAGAAAAAAAAAAGAAAAGAAAAAAGACAAAATAAAGATTTCTTAAAAAGCGGCGACCAGCTGTGTTTCTGGACTACCACATCTGCCGTTGTTGTCGCCGCTGTCCATGGTGCTGAACTCGGGCTCCAGGAATGGTGGAGACGCTGAGTATCGCAGTGATCGGTGCTCCCGGAGTGGGGAAAACTTCTATAATCCGCCAGTTCATCTATAACGACTTCTCGGAGGTGTACACGCCGACCAGGACCAGATATGTGTACAGACCCTCCGTCATACTGAACGGGAACATGTACGAGCTGAAGATTTTGGACGTCCCGCCGATCTCCTCTTTTCCATCAAGCTCCAGTCAGGTATCACGTCTCTGTCTCGGGAACTTTATCAGAGGAGGATTTAAACAAGCTTAGAGAGGAGGGGGTCCATTCTCTGATTGAACCCGCTTCTCATTCATTTAATCACTGCTTAATCTTACAAGTGCCCGTCTGTTCACAGCCGCCAACATCCCTCAAAGGCAAAAACACCAATTTTATTTATTCCTCTTTCAGTATCAGATGTCCCTAGTCTACTAGTTGCTATGGAGACCTGGCTGACTTAAAGCCTAAGAGCTTCACTTTGACGTTTTTAAACTCTCTTTGTCTCTGTCTTTCAGCCCGTCTATGAAGACAATATGCAAACTTGCAATATGCAAGTTTGTTATGTTAATCGTAACATGTCTTCTACACACTTCTAAGAAACAGCAGTGCTGCTGCTGATATTTGTGTTGATTCTGCAGCATTGTGCTTCAGGCATGGCCACAGCACCTGGTTAAAACTCCCTTTTTAAAAATAGAGCAGACTGCCCTTTTATTCCTGACCACAGGTCAGATGCCACCCCTCATTAGATGGAGGCACATCTGGTCGCAGGATCATAGCAAGATGAAAAAGCACTGTGACTGCTGCGGCTTTGCAGTCCCTTTTTTGGAGCAGATTTTTGGTTTTCTTTATTTCTTGACAAGAATCGGAGGTTCTTGAAACAGTCCTCATGTGGCCATATTGAAAGCATTATTAGATCCTCTAACTTTTTTCACCCTCCCGCCTTACAGATCCTTTGTTAAACAGTCACAACCAAGGAGGAGGGGAACACTCAGACCCACAGAGGCTTCAAAACACCACAGACTTCTGAACCTCTGTTTTCAAAAACACAGCCAGTAAAAAATAAGAACAAAAAACCAGAACCAAGGATGTGGGAGAGCTGCTTCACCTGCTTCTCCAGCCTCCTCTAAACAGGGGCAGGGCTGCCTCTGTCCAGAAGTGTCATGTGAACAAGAAGAGATGAGAGTAGAGGGGAGCTCAAGAAAACACAGAGGTGCTTATCATGCAGTGCAAAACTAAGTGATGGGTGATGAACTCTACAGCCCTGATTTTGTGTAAAAAAATATATTTTTGTGAGGCTTCAACTGTCTGAATCAGTCTAGGGGATAATCTTTTAAATCCTCTTTGTGTTATTATTCCGCTTACCTTGTGTGAATCAGACGTATTAAGCATTGTTTTAGTTGTTTTTTTACATGGAATGAGAAGTGCGTATTTTGGCCCTTGACACTTAGAGTGAAATCGCATTAAATCCTCTCTTTATTGGAAAGACATCAGCTCTCCACTTTCCTTTCCCTCTTAGTGGCCAAATGTGGAGAGTAGGATCTGTTACAGCAGCTGAAATCCTTCCAATCTACACATGAGCATGTGAGAACTGCTTTAATATCGCCTTAAAAATGTGACTCTATCCCTCGAGACAAATGATCCCCTTGTTAAAGTCCTCTTTGTCATTTTTCCCAGCCCATTAAGTTGCTGAATATAGTGCGTCCCTCTCTTCGTATGCATGTGTGCGGTGCTTGAAACGGCGCATCCCACTGCAAGTCTCTGCTGACGTGAGGCACGTGTTTGACTCCTGTCCACTGTGACCTCATTGGAAAGACCAAAATCGCCAAGGTCACCACAGCAAAGCCATTGATTTGCTGCTGCTGACTGTTTCTCTCCTTACCTCCCAGTCGGTGTCACAGATAGGCCTCCCAAGAACAGCTGCGGTTATCTACCGCCGGCGAAAGTGCCACTGAGAAAATGAGATCAAGCCAAGCAGGAAACAACAAAAGCACAACGAGAAAGAGAGACCTCCCAAAGTGCTGTTTTTTTGTGCGCTCACAAAGCTACGGCATTAACACAGAAAACATCTGACAGGGCAGAGCAATCATCATGTTATACAAAGCTTCCCTACTAGATTTAACATTTTATTGGAAGGTGTTAAGAGTTCTGCAGACTGCTTACGCTACAGATTCCTGCTGGGAAGGCACTGAGTTTCCTTTTTTCCAGCTAAAGTGCTTTGAACCCCCATTAAGCAATAAGCAGGAGCAGCTGCAGGAAGAGGGGACGAGGTGCATCTCATGAGTTCAAGTGTCTCAAAGGTTGAGTCACATTTGAGGGGTTTCCTCCTCATTTGATTGTCTTTGGTTAAACATTTCATGCTAATGTCAGAGTGGTGGTGCAGGCTCTTTGTCGAAGGTATACCAGCAGAGAAATTCATTAGCTGAGTGCTGCCACAACATTTCCTTCTGACAGATTTACGGTTACTCATTTGCTAAGGAACAACACCTGGAAGGCCCGCTGTGCTTTGTCTCGCTCGTTCTTGCTTCCTCTGGTGCTTCATCCTCTATTCACAGCGGGAGACACGAGGCATTTTTGAGTCACTGCGTTTAACCCCACAACCACAGAAATGTAACGTGGATCAGGGGCAGTTGGATGTAATGAGGGGTGAGTTGAGCCAGCACAAAGAATCCTGATTGAATTTTACTTGGTGAAGACAGCAAATTAAATAAAAGCACACTTCGCTGTTAGAATACAGTCGGGGAATAAGAGAGGAACAAAGGAGAGAGGGGAGGGAGAGAGCGGGAATTTGTTTTGGCCAATTAGAAAGTTTAATGGACACCGTTGAAGCCGGGGTGACCAAATGAGGTTTTATACTGTCCTATAAAATTTGTGATGAATAAGCTGCAGAATAGAGTGAGTCAGTACGCCTCCGCGCTGATGTAGCCCAGCAATTTCTCATCAGTTCAGATTATTTTATAAGAACAGCAGTGGCGTTCTAGCAGGCGACTTGTGACCTCATTTCAACAACATACAGAGACATAAAAAAAAAATCTTTTTTTAATGCTGGAAAAAGGCAAGATTTGTATCATTTTTCCTGTGAAGCTGGGTTGGTGTAATGATTTGTTTGCTTTGTGGTGTGTGGGTCTGTTTCTGAGAGTATTGCATTGAGAGAGCATCTGTCCTGGTGTGTCAATACGATGTGATGACAGATGGATTTAAGCGTGACAGAAGATTCAGCATGATTTTTTTCTTGTTCTTTTCTTTTCACTTTCTCTTCTTTTCCCTTTTTGTTCTTGCCATAATGTATCTCCATGACTTCCTCCCACACAAAATGCTCCGTCTCCTGCTCTCTCTGGGCATTTTTCTCAGCTATCTCTGTCAATACTTTCATATATAACAGCGGGGAAACTATCGTATTTCACGCTTGCAGATGCAGCAAGAAAAATGTGTGCGTCTGTGAAGTGCACAAATCGGTGAAGCGTTAAGTGCTGACAGGATCTGGAAGTGAAACCGAGCACAAATGTATAATAATCATAGTGGATCATTCATTTTGAATTGCATTTAATCTGTTTTTGCTGATATATACACAAATATGATTATACTATCTGCAAAGGCACAGTTTTTGTAGTTTTCCCTGTGCACACCTTCACAGTTGATTTTAAATAAAACATCCAGAGGTGATAGAAGTGCAGACTTTTAGCCTTAATTCAAAGGGTTTAACGAAAATGTTGCATTAACAGTTTAGCAGTCCCTCATTTTCAGTGGCTCACAGTTAGTTCTACATTTGATTGACAGGCGGTTTCATGGCCAGGTGAGGCACGTTCACTTGTTATTTCATAATAAATGAAACAGACAGAATATCTGAAGTGTCGAATTTGTATTTCGTAGCTTTTCACCGAAATTTTAAATACGAGTCTCAAATAGATGTCGTTGCAAGTGAAAGACATCGTCACTGAAACACCAAAATTATCCTCTCAGAGAGAGAGCAAAACTCCAGGATCGGCTAAATCAGCAATCTTTTATGGCATTAAAAAAGAATAAATGCTCAGAAAAGCCACAGAGAATGATTTCCATGGCTAAAGAAACAACTTTATAGCACCTAACAAAATTAAGGATACTCTTAAGGAGGTAGGAGTATTGTTATCAAGAACTACAATCAAGAAACACCTTCATGAATGGAAATACAGAGAATTTACAATAAGGTTCACACAGTTACACTGAGGAACAGGAAGGCCGGATTAGAGTTTGACAGAAAACATCTAGATGACAAAAGATGAAACCAAGATTAACCTGTACTAACATAATAGAAGGAAAAAAGGTCTTGAGTTCTTGTGACCAAGGCCTGCTGGCTGTCCGGCATACAAGGTTAAAAACTAAAGGTGACAGAGCGTTTGTATCTGTGGCTCCCAGACTCTGTAACTCTCTGCCATTGAGTTTGAGATCTGTGGACTCAGTCATTTCTTTTAAGAAGCAGTTAAAGACTTATCTTTTTAAAATCGGTTTTGGTTGACATTGGATGATGTACGTTTTGAGCCTCTGTGAAGCACTTTGTGATTTAATCTGAAAAGGTGCTATATAAATAAAATGTAACTTTACTTACTAATAGAAGACAAAAGTATTGAGCATTAGAGAAAAGGTCATGATCCAAAGAATACCACGTAGAAACATATGCCTGGCAGGGGAACCAGGACACTTTGTTGGTGATGTGATTGCTGACTGAAGCTGCAGGATTAACTGTCAAGTGTACGTGGCGACACTCTCTGCTCAGATTCAGACAAATGCTACAAAACCCATCGGGCAGAGCTTCACAGCACAAACAGAAAATGACCCAAAGCAAACTGCAAAAGCAACCGAGAGTTTGTCAAAGCAAAGAAAGTAGATATCCTTGAATGGCAAGTCTTCACCTGATCTCAGGCTAGTAGTGCAGCTTTTCAGGTATTAAATACAAAACTCAGAGCAGAGATACTCACACACGAGCAGCAGCCAAAGGCAGCTGTAAAAAAAGGCCCTGTATCTCAAGCAAAGAAAGACAGCATTTCCTGATGTCCATGGGTTCCAGACTTCAGGCTGCAAAGAATTAAACAAGCTGGCAACCCTTGTATTTGCACTTATATAAGAATAAAATTAAATCCATTATGGTTGTGTACAGTAGTGTAAAACTGTGCCCAACAAAATATGGACCAGACAAGCCTTGTAGAGATGACTCTAACAAGCTTGATCAGCAAAACACACCCTCATCCTCAGTGCTAATTACTGCCAAGTCAAATCTGAATAAAATGCTGACATTTCACTAAACAAAGCTGAAGCAAAGATTCCTTGAATGGGCTCTTAGTACAGTTAGATTTAATTAATTGTTAAGTACTCGCAAGCCATGTTATTTGTTCTAGATCAGTGATTTGAATTAGAAGTAGCCTAGCATACTAGACAGCTAGCTAGCAACCAGTTGGTGTTTCCCCCTCTCATTCAACTATTCCCTTAAAAATGCAAAGTTCAAGTGCTAATAACATCACAGTTGGTGAGTTATATTAAAAATCACCTCTGGTACACTTATTATGA